TTGAAGCCATCCAAACTGTAGCCACCACCACAACTCATGGCAGGGAATTCCAAGCCATATTTCCTTTTGTTTGTGTTTTTTGTCTCAGTATCAGTTTCATAGAGTGACTTGTATTTCTTGTAGTCTAGGAAGGAGAAAATAACTTCCTTGTGCACTTTATCCATACCAAGAATAATTTTGTATTTCTCAAACATGTCCCCTCCTCATTCACCTCATTTCTAAACCAGGGAACTCCAAGCTTGGTAATTTTAAGAGGTGTGGCCTTGGCTGACTGAGGAATTCTGAGAGTTAAAATCCATAAGTCTTGAAGTTGCCAAGTTTGGAGATTCCTGGTTTAGAAAGGAGGGTGAATGAAGGAAGACATTTAATTCAGTTTTTCTAAACTAAAATAAGCCCCCATTGCAACCAGCTTTCCTCAGAAAGAAACTGTTCCAACATCGTCTTAGTTGCCCTGCTCTTAATCTTCTCTAGTTCATTCTAACTATATCCGTTTTTAGGTGTGGTGGCCGAAACTTCACACAATATTCCAGATGCAGCATTGATTAATATAAAGGGATTATATTGGCATCTTTCTAAAATTCTTTAGACACGTGTCCAGAGAAAAGTGCTTGGCAGTGTGCAGAGATACAAACACAGCAGTTGTCTGTAATTTTTACTCTGAAGTGTCTATCTATTGAATCTGAACATTACACAGCTGTACTTTATAATTCTAAAGGATTGGTTATGGTTATCCATTGGTGAGTGAAAGATTATTTACACTTGCATTGCTTTGACAGAGTAGAAATCATGGGCTACATTTATTCATTAATACACGGGGTCCATATCAGTGGTGGAATTCAAATATTGTTGCCACCAGTTCGGTGGGCATGGCTTGGTGGGTGCGCTTTGCATGTGTGCACACACTTTGCATGCACATGCGCGCCAAATGTGCACTTTGTGCATGCGCAAAGGCGTTTGCGCAGGTGCAGAGGCATTCTAACTTGCCTCCTGCGAGCCTGCACAATCCCGGTCACTTCAGCAGCTGCCATGTGGCGCTATTCTGTGCCGCACAAAGCAGCTGAGCTTTAAATTCAGCGGATAAAGGTGAGTATGGGAGCCCGGGCAGGCGGGTGGGCCCAACAGCAGAGCCATTAGAGCAGCAAAGAGAACTGGTTCGGTCTCTGCTGCTCATTGCTCCTACCAGCTCTCCAGAACCAGGCAGAACCGGTCGAATACCACCACTGCTGTGATAATATGAATTAATCATGCTCTTCAAACAGAAATTAATAAGACAATCCACCATCGTTTTTGTTAAAATGAGACTCCTCAACAAAGTTTAGCCAAGGAGATTAGTACCATCACACATAATTATTGTGCAAAACCTTTCTTTCAGATGACATATTTTTTTAAAAAATTGACATATATATTCTTTATGCTGTTCACATCTTGGCTATGCAATCTATGTGAGCCTCAGAAAAAGAGTAAGATGGGGTAAACAAAATAACAGAATAACAGAGTTGGAAGGGACCTTGGAGGTCTTATAGTCCTATCCTTCTAGCTCTCTAACTCTCTGCTCAAGTGGGAGACCTTAGACCATTTTAAACAAATGGCTGTCCTGTCTCCTCTTAAATGCCTCCGGGGTTGGAACAAAGAAAAGAAAGAGGGAACCATGAAAAAGAAGGAAAAAGAAAAGGAAATGTAACCAAATCCAACTTACACCAGCACCATTCACTTTGTGTCTCTACACTTTTCTGTTTTTGCTCCTGTCATTTCCATATTCCTAAATGTTGTCATTTCATGGAAAATGCATGTGTTGTTGTTTGTTTGTTTTTTGTTTGTTTTTTGCAGTTGTTCTACATTCTGTCTCATTTCTTTCTTTTATTCCTTTTTCTTTCATACCCATTTTTTCAGTGCCCACACTTGACAAAAATCCAAAAGTTGTATTCCATATTCACAACCTCTCATCATCCCAGTGCCATTTATTGAATCTTTCAATCTTTTATCATAAATATCAAGTTAATTATGTGTATCAATGAATAGATTTATGCTTAGACCATGTATTTAAAAAACGCTTAGACCATGTATTTAAAAAACTCTTTTTCTAAGTAGATATTCACTAAACAGTCACCATTCTTACTTTAAAAAAACCCCACCTTTTCTAATTAGATACTGACTTAACATTCACCATTCTTATTTATTCTTGTGTCTCCAAATGAGCAGTCATATTTTTGTTCTCTCTTGTCTTATCATCATCCATCCCTTCCTGTCACCAAGCAGAATAACTTTTGTCCCCAGATCATATTTATTTAAAATGTTCTCCCTTTTTTTTCTCAAAAATTCCTCTTCAGTTCTTTCATTAATATTGTTCACTGGAGCTTAACATGTAACAATCACCAGCTATGAATAGCTATTCTACCACACACTCCCAACAATCTTGACTCCAATTTACACTTTCTGAAATATATTTAATCCTTCCTTCTAATTAAATCCATACTGGTAGGAGACAGGGTGGCAGAATTGGGGGCGGAGTCAAAAGAGGAATCAGCCTAGAGTCTCTAAATAGCCATAAGCAGACTATGTTAACCCCTTTTGAATCCGTTGACCCTTATCTAATGTCAAAATGGAGCCAACCATTAATTGCATAGATTCCTATGCATAAGTATAAGTAATAATAAATGAGTTTAATCAGAACTTCACATGTGGTCCTGGTCTTTCACATCTAACAATACCATTCAATTTTTTACATATATTCATGAACTCCACTCCACAAGATCAGACCACTTTCATTCAGATCTATTGTATTCTAACTTTTAATTTCACAAACAGGCAACATATCTTTTTCTTTCATTCAGTCATTTAATGTGTAATTCAAGCTCTTATAATGTACTATTCTTACATTCCAAGTCACAGTCTTCCATATGACAATTAGGGGGAAAAATGGAAGTCAGTGTTTTTCTGAAACCAAACAACCCATACATATCTTGAAAGTATAAAATAATAAATGCAACTAGAAAGAAAATAACAGATATCACTAAGGCATAATGATTAAGAACCAGAAACTAGGAGACTGTGAATTCTAGTTTTGCATTAGATACAAAGCCAACTGTTTGACTTTGGACCAGTCACTGTCCTGCAGCCCCAGGAAGGAGGCAATGGCAAACTACTTCTGAAGAACCTTGCCAAGAAAACTGGATGGACTAGTCCAGACACTCATCAGGAGATAACATTGACTGGAAAGCATTTAAAAGAATGCAGTTGTACTATCAATTCTTTCTGTATGTTTTTGTTATTAGATTTTTATCCTGCCTTTTTCAATATCTGGTCATTTCAAGGTAGCTACCATACCTAATTCTCCTGCCTCCTATTTTCCCCACAACAACCATCTTGTGAGGTAGATTGTGCTGAGAGAGAAAGACTAACCCATAGTCACACAGCTGGTTTCATTGCCTAAGGAAGGCCTAGAAGTCATTGTCACCTGGTTTCTACGCCAGCACCTTCACTGTTACACCAAACTGACTCTGATATTGCTAGCATTTTTTCTCACACACATTAATATAAGTTGACGGTAATTTAAATCCATGTTGGGATTTGAATCGTATACTAGAGCCATGTATTTTCCATCAGGTTAATGATGGGGGCCACTGGTTTTAAAATAATTCTAAACCTAATCTAAAACAGAGTCACCCTTTCAAGCCATTTCTTCTAGTATGTAAGTAGTTCAACATGTATAACTTGAGTTAACCTATTATCAACTACATAAAAAGTGATTGTGATTTTGTGGTGTTTCTATAAAGAAATCCCTATGAGTAGTTATGAAAAGTTACATGTTATGAGTTACTGAGTTGTGCTATCTTGCTGAGATATGTTAATCAGACTGGTTGTTTTTTTTTTCAGAACACAAAACATTTGCAGTGTATATGTATGGACAACAATGTCTGTTTTCCCAATCAAAGCAAAGAATAGCAACAAGTCTCAAAATACTATACAATTACAATTGTAGCACTTTATTTTAATTGTAATTACTCAATAAATAATAGTGATTCAGGAAGCTTTGCATACAAATAAAGCCAAGTAGATTGGGCATTTATTTCAGAAAACAAAATACAATCTAATGTAATGAACATTAAACTTTGCTTATGATAGTTTCTGTTACTAACATGACCTTGTGTAAAAGGCAGGCCTCACAAATTCATGAATACTACATAACAGAAAGGAAGAATGACGGCATATTACTCTTACTAGAGATAAGGGATCCTACTGTGAAAACTGTTTTTTCTGCTATTTTTGATTCTCTTTAGTGATGCTTACAATCTTTCCAACATTATTAAAATGTAAGATTTGTATTCCCAAATTGTCCTTTGTGCTGCTAACACATTTGCCATGTCGTGGTGCTCAGATTTCTTCTACAATTTTTATTGGGAAAAATTTATTAGGAAGTTATAGGATGATGATGGCAATGAATTTTAAATCCTTCCAGTCTTTTACAGCTTGGAATCTAATGTGACTTTTTCCCCATGGTGCCTGGAAAAAAAAATCACTTGTAGCATGCAAATGTTCCAAGATCTTCAAGGTCACATTTTACACCAGAAAGATGCACACCTCTAGATATTGTAACTGAGTTGTTCAAATCTGCAATTGATTTTTTTAGTTCAGGGTAATGGAGAATGAAAAAAAAAAACCCTGATTACATAAATAATGTCCTGGCAAACTGAAAGTGAAGGTACAGAATGAGTACTCCACGTGTTTCCCTTGAAATCTTCAAAGCACCATTGCTATAAGATTTGTTTTTATTTAAGAGAAAAAGAGGGACAATGGAACAGGCTGTGTTTTGTGTTCACTTATTTTTTAAAAATTCAGTTTTCTCTCTCAGAATATAACTATAACTATAACTAATGATTCGCCATCGTAGCTTTTATAAAAGGAGTGAGGGAGAAAAATAACAAGTTTAGTTAATGTTTTGTTTCAATTGAGCCATTTTCCCTTTGCAATAACTTTTTACTCGCTGTCTAAATCTATTGCAGTCTGCCTGAATATTATGACTATGGTCATGGAACAAGTGAAGATGCCTATGACAGCTATGGTAAGGCTTGATCTATTTTTGGTAAATGTGTGAAATCAGAAAAGCAATCATTCAGTGACAACCCAAAATTACTTGTACGTTCTCTCTTCCTGCTTTCCCAGAGGGCAGGCTAAACTGATTTATGTCATTCTGAAGTAAAATGTAACTTATGGGATTGAGGTCACAAAACCAAACAAATCCGTTTTGTTCAGAGGTTTGCAATGACATTAATCACAGGGGTAGGGTCAATTTTCAAAAGCAACGGCGAAAATGCCGATTAATATGCAAATCTATTACATGGTGACAAGCATCAGATTTAGTGATGTCACTGATGTAACAACAACTTTATACACACCAGCTATCTCATATTCCTCTTCTCTATAGGAAGCAAGATTTCATGGACTATGAGGCTACAGCAATATTTTCTATTGTTGCATTGGTTACCATGTAAATATAAACTACTTTCCATTTGAGCAAGATCTTGCTTTAGCTATACACTTCAGATAAATTGGCCCATTGGTTTCCCAATGCTACAAAACTATTCATTCTTTAGAACTGATAACAGTCCGAGAGAAGTTCAGTCTTGCTGATGTTAAATATTTTAAATTTAATTGATTTCTTTAAAATAGATTTAAGCATGTGCTTAATTATTCCCTTGAACTATCACTTCAAGATAATCTAAAGCAGGGGTGTAAAACTCATGTCATCACAGCATCATCACGTTATGTATCATGACTTTTCCCTCCCTTCGCTAAACTAGGCATGAGTGTGGCCAGCGCATGACACATCCGGCCCACAGGCCACGAGTTTGACAGCCCTGGTCTAAAGTAATTCCAACATTGTCACTTTTTCCTTCCCTCCCACAGCAAAGCTCTGCTTTCATAGTAGTAGAAATTATCAAAGTTTCTACCACCCTTAGGAGTAGGTTTCTGAGATAATTTCATCCTCTCTGGGTTTGAGATTTTTCTCCAATCTCAGAAGGGAAGATGTACAGCTACTTCTGCTTTCCCAACTATGACAGGATTATTGCCACTTTAAAGTTCTGTACTTTGAACAGTTTGTGTCTTTCTGAGTTTGGGGGAAAAATCCATGCAATATATTACCAGTGAAAATGCATTTGTATCTAGATAATATTTGACTTCAAAATATTTCCTATGCTTTAGAAGCTGCAAATTACTTTAATTTTAGCTAACACTTCATCACTATGTAATAATATTTTGTCCATGTAATTTTTGTTAAAGAGCCAGGGGGAATATTTTTGGTTTCGTTCTATTGGAACAAAGAATCTTCTTAAAATATTGCAAGTGACTCCAGGAAAGCAGGTGAATAAACCACCTGTGAAAATAAACAGAACAAGGCAAATGATGCTCACATATTCCTGTAGGTTGACAGTTTCAAAAATAATTACGTTTGTTGGAGTGTTGAGTGTATATGTATCTTATGTAAGGTTTTATTTCTCTCACGCTTGACTTAAAATTGTGATTTCCTAATAGATCAATGTCAACATCAATACCTGCAAATGAAAAATGGCATTTCTTCCACATGTAATATCAAATGAATCTGTAAAGCCACAAGACAATGACAATGAACTGTAATTGAACACCTGAATCCACTGGTCATTGTGTTTTCTTTCATGAACTCTTTCCAATTTCCAGTTCTCCATTTCTTGTGATGCCCTCTGTCTAATTTGGTTCAGTTTATCCTCCTGTCCTTGTCTTCCTTTCCCTTGTATACAACTGAGGTCCATTTCAGTAACTAAGCCAGTGGTTCCCAACCTTTTTTTCGCCCCGCACCCCTAAAGAAATTTCACTCGAACCTTGCACCCCCTGAAATAAATAATAAATAAAAATGCCAACATATAGCCAATATCCTACCTGTCCAGTCCTACCTGGACTTTTCTTGCACCCCCTGGAATATCGTCTCGCACCCCCAGGGGGTGCGAGCACCCCAGGTTGGGAACCCCTGAACTAAGCAGATGTGGTGGTGTGCAATCTGTGACTGGTCAGGTGTGCAGCCCCAACATCCACAAATAAAGGTGTTTTGATTTTGCATCTGGCGGGATGTAGAAAAGGGGCCTTTTCTGCCCTGGAGACCTCTCTTTGGAATCTCTCTCCCCGTCCAAAAAATCAGACCGGCCATATCGTTGCTGGATCTTCACAAAGCCTTGAAAACTAGTCTCTGCCATCAAGCCTTGGGCCCTGGTAGTGTGGATGAGAGCATTTCTTGGATATGTTGATACAGTAGTGGGATTCAACAATTTTTTTTACTACTGGTTCTGTGGGAGTGGCTTGGTGGGCATGGCAGTGGAAGGATACTGTAAAATCTCCAGTCAGAGGTGGTATTTGCCGGTTCTCCGAACTACTCAAAATTTCTGCTACCGATTCTCCAGAACTGGTCAGAACCTGCTGAATATCACTTCTGATATTGATAGTAGGATGTTGTGATTGTTTTCAGCTGCCAGTTAATGTTATTTATGTTTTTAATGCTTGGTTTTGTTTTAATCTTTATTTTTTATTTTTTGTAATTATTAGCCACCACAATCATGTATGTGAGATGGTCAGCCATATCAATTTATTAAATAAATAAATGGGCTGTGTCTAATCCCCTTTCTCCCAGAGCTGTTGTGTGATACCTCAGATACTTTTGCATTAGTAGGATCAATAATAACTGAAAAATAGCAATACACCCAATACATGCTTGCCCCAGAAACATATTGAATTCATTGATCAATTGTAACTCAGTAACTTCACATGGTATACATTTGAGGTACTTTGTTTAATAATGTCTAAGATATCTTCAGTTCCCTTTTCTATATTTCTTTATAGTTGTACAGCATTCAGAATTTGAATCTGTTCCATGTCTGCGATTATCCTTACAGCAAACATCAGCACCACTTGCAAAGCTTGCAGGAAATACACATTTCCTAAATACTTATTTTTGTCGGTCTCTTTCTTATCTGTGTCTAAATATGAAAAGAATTTTCCAAAGAGCTATATCATCTTTGGCTTGTGATAGCCTCATATATCGGTCATGGGCTATGAGAATAACCTTGAAGAACAGGAGGAAGAGTCTCAAACAAGACAAGAGAAATCTGATAAGAGAAATCTTAGTCAAAGCAAAACTGTAATGTGAAAGAACATCTCAGACGATATTGCTAATTCTGGTTAGGATAAAGGCAGGCAGGAAGGAAGCACATTCAGTTTTTCAAGTTTCTTGAACTATAACCCTGTAATAAAAGTAGTTTTAGCATTCATCACTTCAGTATCCAAGTCTGGTAAATCTAGAAAGCTGACCCCTGCTTATTAAAAAACATAGATTCAATCTGGTAATCTAACTAAGACAGTTGCTTCTCAACTAGTTCTTCATAATAGGCTAATATTTCTTGTCCAAATATCATTCCTTATGCCACCCAATAATGATGATATAATGATATTTAAGCAAAAGAAAAAAGAAAAGGATGGGGGATTCAAATCCATAAATGTAAATGAGCTGCTTAACATACGCTATTAGATACATTTTCTGCTAGATCCTCAAGGGCTGATATACCAAGAATGTGCACTATTCCTAAATTTACGAGTAGTAATCACATGCAGCTTTTAGTGAAAAAGACAGCATTAGCCTCAACTTTTAAAACTGTCCCATGGAAATGCCCATTCTTTCATCCTTTCTCTCATTCTTTCTTCAGTTTCTCTTAATCAGCATTTTTCTCTTCGGGATTCTCTTGCTTTTGTAAAGATCAAGATCTGTTTTTCAAAAATATAACTATAATTTATGAAATACTTCAGTAAATCTCCTTTAACAAAGAATTTTAGATTGTAAGAGCATAAGAAACTTCTCCTAAGAATCATCTACTTCTAAAGATAGGAGTCTATCATTGTCCAGTGTTAATAGAACTTGGAAGATTTTAAGATGGGAGAAGGAGGAGGAGAAGGAGGAGGAGGAGGAGGAGGAGGAGGAGGAGTTGTAAGCCACCAGACTGTCAACTTACTAGTGGCTCTGCCAGCATGCATCACTCTTGCTGGATCTGAAACCATCATTTAAATTCCTTGAATTCAATGAGCTCTTGGGTCAAGAGAACTCTGGGAAAGTTTCACTATTTGCTGGACCCGAATTCTGCAAGAACATTCTTGCATTTCCAGTGGTTTTTCCTCTCCATTGCTTCTTTTTGGAGGACTGCTTAAATAAATGCAGCTTTTCAATTGTCCTTGTTTTGGTTTATGGTCTTCATACAACACAACTGATCAGATGAAAGCAGTTTAACAAATGAATGGATAGATTTCTGGAATTAAAAACTGTCCTCTTCTGCTTCAGTGTTAATAGAGTGGCAGTATTTGCATAACACACTTACCCCATTAAACATGTCCACTGTGTATGGATTTTGCTTGGTTTTGCTTTTGATCTTTCAGGTCTTTATGAAAGTGACAAACTGATGTTTAATTGCTCTCAATACCAATGAGAAATGATAATGCATGTGCTCTATATTAAATAGCCATCATTTTCATAATATCCAGAAAAAAATAGCTATATGGAATAAGAACAAAAATGCCAGAATCCTTATTGCCACATTTAATATCCCAACCATATAGCTATGACTAAACCCATAGTTTTCAAAATATGCAAGAAAATTCAGCCATTTCTAATGTTACCCCTGCAAATATCTTTAAAGCACAATACAAGTGTGGAGGAATTCTCCCCTCTGCCTTTTCGTCAAAATGGCTTTTATTCTTATGTCACAGCAATTGGGAAGGATAAGTAGCTAAATCTTTATTACAATCTTTGACCAACATATATGTGAAATACACACAGTCCATTAAAATGGCAACTAAAGTAAGTTTTATGAATTAAAGAGGAAAGGAAGGAAGAAAGAAAGGAAAGAATTTTAAACATGTTGAAGAAATGCAATTGTGTTGGACAATATTTGTTGCCTCAGTCTTGTAGCAGTGAAGCAGAATTTGGCAACATAATAAGTGATAGTGTTTTTATGGTCTTTTAAAGATAGGAGACACTGACATAGGAGAAAA